GAGAGAGCGGGAGAGATGAAAATTGACGCCGGCTTTGTAATTTTTGTTTTGTTTTATAAAGGAGTTTTCTGTGATGTAGTTTTTAGAGCTGCGGTTTCTCTCCCCTTTGATCTAGGGACGGATAAAGGGATAGAAACAGTAGTTTCACTAAATAACTCATTTTATTGTGCTTCCTCCTTATTTATTTATTTATTTATTTTTTTTTTTGGCATTGTGGGGTGAGGGAGTCGGGAATGAATGTTGTGAAATAAGATCTCTTGCTGGTTTGAAAATTAGTTGGGTGTCTCCGCAGAGAGGATGAAAACCTACCCTAGGGAGGGGCTTGGAGCGGGTTCTTTCAGAAAAGATGGAATAGAGAGCCTGAGATCAAAGCAAAGGAGGGTGGGTCATCATCTGAGCGGCTTAACCTAACCAACTACAGCCTTTCAAAACTTGTGACTGGGGCTTGTGGTTTGTGTTTATTTGCCCTTGGAGGACGCTGGGTTGGGCAGCATTTTTTTGTATTTAACAGTTAATGGCTGGCCGGGTCCTCCCTTGTTTTTTCCTCCGAGTCTTTGCTGCCCCCTGGTGAGCACAAGCGGAATGGCCCCCACCTTTTTTTTTTTTTTTTTTTACAACCCAAAGTTTGTAAACAGGAATCACGTGGTCTGAAACTGGCTCTGCAGCGCTGTCTACCTTTGCAGTGGGGGGAAGACAGGGTGTGGATGTCTGTCGCGGCGCTCAGAGCAGGGGGAGGAAGGCCTCTCAAAGGGCACCCTGTCTTTTAGGATGTAGTATGTTGTATAAGGGCCCTGGACTGGATGGCAGCTGAGAAGAGAATCACCCAGGCTCCCGGGACACCTTCATGCAGTTTCAGGATATTCTGGGATACCTCCCTGGGTTGTGCAGACTTTCATCCCTTCGTCCCATTGTGGGTGGTCCTAGCGCATGCGGGCCTCAGGCTTTGGGTTTGTGGCCAGCGCTGTTTGTCTGTAGGAGTAGTTTGTAAAGAATTTTGGTGTATGGTCTGGGCTGGTAGAGAGGTGGGTAAGGCCTTGTGTTGGAAAGATGCCACTCATCCACTCCTTTTAGCCTAGGGGGGAGATAGAGTTAGCCCAGCTCCTGTCCCGGGAGAAGTGGAGTGGTGCTGTTATTTTGTGTTGCTTTGTTTCTTTTTGCTAAAAGTGTGTTTTCCTTTCTATTCCCCCGGCTCGCAGGGACCCGAGTGTATAGTCCCCCAGAGTGGATCCGCTACCATCGCTACCATGGCAGGTCGGCCGCCGTCTGGTCTCTGGGGATCCTGCTGTATGATATGGTCTGTGGAGATATTCCTTTTGAGCATGATGAAGAGATCATCAGGGGCCAAGTTTTCTTCAGGCAGAGGGTCTCTTCAGGTAACTTTTGGGAAGCCCCTTGTTGAAGAGAAGCAGGAATCACAAGGCGGTTAGGCCTCAGGGGACGGTCTTTGAATTCTGGAGAGCTTCCCCTCTCCAGGGGATGCCTCGACCCTTGGCTTAGCAGAGTCCTAGGCCAGTGATTCCGGAGAGCTAGCGCTCAGGAATTGAATGGTTTGTGTTGAGCATTCCCTGGGAGGCCATAGGAAGACCATGTGTGAGAATATTGTGAAGAAAAGACCATCTAGTTTGGCTGAAAGCTGTTTTTTTTTTGTTATTTTGTTTTTTGTTTTTGTGCCAGCAGTCCTGATCCCTCGACTCCTGGCTATTTTGCCACAGAGTGAAAAGTTGAGGGTTCTTTGAGCCTTCTCCCCTTAAGGCAGACTCTCTAACTATTGTGGTTCCAGTGACCTCATTGTGGGTGGTGTTCATATTTGTAAGTTGTAGGTGAATTGAATCACCTCATCATGCTCACTGATGTCTCATCAAAATATCCCTTGTCATCATTCTTCCTATTTCTAGTGAGTGGGTGTCGTGGGAAAGGCCCCAGCTATTGAAGTTTGAAAACCACAGGTTTAAGAGGGGAGCTGTTTTTTAGCTGAAAGCAAGTTGGAAGATCCAGCTCTTATGGTTAATACCTTCCCATTGAAAACTAGCTCTAGGAGGTTCATGGTCTCTGTTGGACCCCAGACTGTCGTGGGCCCCGGGGAAGCAAATGAGCAAGACCTTTGCATCGCAGAAACAGGTTGAGTCATTTGTAACCTCTGTCTGTCTTGCTTTCTGCAGAGTGTCAGCATCTCATTAGATGGTGCTTGGCCCTGAGACCGTCAGATCGGCCATCCTTCGAAGAGATCCAGAACCATCCCTGGATGCAAGATGTCCTCCTGCCCCAGGAAACAGCCGAGATCCATCTGCACAGCCTGTCGCCAGGGCCCAGCAAATAGCTTTTCTGGCAGGTCTTCCCCTCCCCCTCAGATGCTCGAGGGAGGGGAAGCTTCTGTTTCCAGCTTCCCAGAGTACCAGTGACACTTCTCGCCAAGCAGGACAGTGCTTGATAACAGGAACAACATTTACAACTCATTCCAGACCCCAGGCCCCCTGGAGGTTGCCTCCCAACAGTGGGGGAAGAGACTCCTCTCCAGGCGTCCTAGGCCTCCACTCCTCCCGTAGATGCTCTCTCCTATTCAAAGAGGTCCGGCTTGGCTG